CTGGGAGCGGGGTTGGGGAGCTGATGGGGGGCTGCTGACGTATTACTCTTTGGCAATGTACACTGGTAAATTCTGGCTCCTTCTCAGGCTCAGGTTGGCCACCCCGGCCTTAAACATTAATTAAAGGTCTGGACAGCAGAATAAATTACATATGCATTTTATTAGACAAACACTGGAAAGTGACTAGAAGCTTCCAACAACATGAGCTCCTGAGCCCAAAGAACTAACAACGGTGCGACACGTTTTATATACAACATAAGGCTGGATAATTTTCAATTCAAAGTCCGTTGGAAATAAAACAGTGGGAATTATGTGCAATGTGAGATAGAGATGTGGCAAATGCAGAACAAGGTGGGAACACCCGTTTGCACACAGAACTCAATACAATTTGGATGAGCTAAAGCAGTGTGTTGTAAATTTCTAGACAAGGAACCATTTGGTCAGCTGAACAATGAAAGAACCTGGGTGACATAAACAGGTGCCCAAGGTATGGAGAGAGCGAGCCATGTACATTGTGTCCTGTAATGGGCTCAGATTTTGAAATGTACACTAGATCTGGACAAGAAATAATGATCAGGTGCCCTGTTCTAACATTATTCAGCCAGTGCTTAACATAATGGTTCTCTTGCCATTCTAAAACTGAGTTTTGGCATAACAAATATCCAAATCCATGAGCTACTCCTTGGTATGGAGGAAAAGAAAATACATGGGAAAGGGATGGCAGTTTTATTAGTTGCACTAGGTCTTGTCAAGGCTATGCAATCACCAGAGGTGTTCAGAAAATGGGGAAATCTTTTTATCCAGAAAAATTCAATATTTCACTGGAAGAAAGGTAGCCCCTAAATTGAACGTTTTTGAAGGAAACATTTTGGGGGGAGATTTTGGCATGTTTGGCTGAAAACTTTTGGGTGAAAATTAACAGAAATGTTTGGGTTTGTCAAAAACATCCATCTTTTCAGCTTTCAGTTTTCCAATGAAAAATTCAAAGTTTTTGAGGAAAGCACACACATTCTGCTGTTTAGAGAAATATGTACTTTCTCTTCTTGGTGGACAGAGGTTATAGGTTTCTACGTGAAAGATAATAGATAGCAAGTTTGAAGAAAGAACCGATTCAAGGCAATGTTTGGAAAACTCAGATATACGCCAACATGTTTTAAGCTTGGTTTCTAAAGAGAAGATTAGAAAACGTTGCCCTTATTCAATATGGTGGTCCCATTCGTAGGTCAGTAATGTGTCAGCATCAGGAAACCAGGGAGATATTTCAATCGGGGTGCGAGGACTTTGAATTCTGAGCTTTAGCTTTTGTAGCTTCGTTTGGTGGAAGAGGTAGTTGAGACGAATTTCACGCTAGAGCCGCTTCCGCCTCCGAGGCTCAACCCGCCGATGCTTCTTCCGCTCCCAGAGCTGAAGTTGCTTCCTCCAACACAGAGCCCGCCTCCCATGCCGAGACCGCTTCCACCTCCAACACAGACACCGCTTCCACCTCCCATGCCGAGACCGCTTCCACCTCCAATGCAGACACCGCTTCCACTTCCCATGCCGAGACCGCTTCTGCTTCCATATCCACCTCCAACGGTTGAGGAGACCACAGCTGCAAAAAGGAAGCACCGTGTGTTTAGATCTCATTGGATGGTGGCCACTGGAGTGGCAAATGGAGACTAAAGCAAGGCACTTTATACTATATACTTATTCAAGTGACTTACAAATATTCACTGCACCAACACCTTCTCCACACAGCCTGTTAGGGAAGAGAAGAGAGGAAAGTAAGAATTCAAGTGATGTCCATTGGCAGGAGCTGGTTGAAAAAAGCAGAAACTTTTCCATGAATTTTTTCATCGAGCACTTGAAATTTTGTGCGGAAAACAGACACTTTCCAGGAAAATGTTCAGTTAGCCAGAAACCCCAGTTTTCCAACTAAAAAAAAAGTTTTGACAGAAGCCTTTTGACCAGCCTTCAGGGGGTTTATTTTGGACATTTCAAAAAATCAAAACCTCTCGACACACTGGCTGACAAACAGAAAAATACTTTCAAAAAATATTTTTTAAAAATTGCTAATATATTTCATCCAAATGTCAAAACTTTTTAACCAGGTGTTTCATTAACATTTCAGTTGATTCCAGCATAAAGAGAAGTCGCTTCACGGGGGGAGTTTTCAGAAATGCTGAGCACCTGCAGTTCCCATTGACCTCATTAAAATCCAGACATGAATGTGCTGCATTTCACCCACCTGCTCTCCTCTCCTTCCAGCAGCTTCCTGTAGGTGGCGATCTCGATATCCAGGGCCAGCTTGACGTTCATCAGCTCCTGGTACTCCCGCAGCTGACGCGCCAAATCTCCCTTGGCCTTCTGCAGGGCATCTTCCAGCTCAGCCAGTTTACCCTGGGCATCCTTGAGGGCCAGTTCGCCGCGCTCCTCGGCCTCGGCAATGGCCGCTTGCAGGTTGGCGCACTGTGTAAGAGAAGAACATCGATCTCAACTTCCATAGGAAACATCCAACCATTCTGCCTTCCTAGTACGCAATTGCCTGATCCGGCCTGGGTGCAGATCACGCTGGAATAATCTATGAGCATCTCATCTCGTCCCATCAACTTTTCTACAGTTTGGAACAGATCATCAGCTGGTGTAGATCTTCCAAGCTCCATTAACTTTAGCGGAACGTGGCTGATTGACACCACTGAAAATTTGGCTCTCTGTGTTTCAATCTAACACGTTTGCAATCATTTCCAGGGGCTGCAATGGGGGAAACATTCGAGAGAGTATCACGCAGTTTAACCCTTTGAAGTCCAGATTGCCAGCTGGCGTAAAGTGCATTGACTTCCTTGACGCTGAGGTTCTGGCCCTATATTATTTATTCATTTTATGTATAAGTAGAAAAATCTGGTCAAATCCTAGTGGCATTTTTACTTTGAGACCAAAGGGGCCAAATTCCGTTCTGGTGCAGCAGAAATCAAGGGGGTTGCATTTGCATCCATCTTGGGCCAAGGCTTGGAACTGCAATAATGAAGCACCCGCCCACAAAATCCCCTCCTGTGTTTTCCGCAGCGCCCTACCTGTCTTTTCACGTTGTCAATTTCATTCCGCAGTCTCTGGACGATTCGGGTCAGCTCTGAGATCTCATGTTTGGTGTTGCGGAGGTCATCCCCGTGTCTGCCAGCGGTAACCTGCAGCTCTTCGTACTGCCGGACACAAAGAGACACACAAATCACGTTAAAGTCCATCCTCTTTGGGGCAGGCGTTGCGTGTTATTATGTGTGTGCGGTGTCTAGCACAATTGGTCACCACCTAATCCCTGATTGGTACCTCTGAGTGCTCAGTGACACAAATCAGGAAGCACAATAATACTGACATACAACCGAACGTGCAGCGAATTGGAACTCAACCCTCTGTTGGTGTGTGGTGACTCACCTTAGTTTGGTACCAAGATTCAGCCTCAGCTCGGCTCCTGTTAGCGATCTCCTCGTACTGCGCTTTGACTTCAGCAATGATGCCGTCCAAGTCCAGGTCTCGGTTGTTGTCCATAGACAGAACGACGGAGGTGTTGGAGACCTGCGTCTGCATCTGAGCCAGTTCCTGCAATTCATGCCAATATTCGGGTGAACTGTGAGTCAAAGAGACTTTTCCTCATTGGTAGACAACTGAACTTTTCATTGTGTACCATACGCAGAGGCAACGGCCTAAGGTAAGAGGCTGTCACTCCAACAACTATCAGGAACGGTCAAGACAGTCCATGTCATTGCAAAAAAAGCTTCAGAATTTTGGACGTCACTGGGAAAACTAATTTGAAACCCGCTGAAAGAGACCTCGGGCTGCTAGCACTTACCTCTTCGTACAGGGCTCTCAGGAAATTGATCTCATCAGTCAGGGAGTCCACCTTGGCAACCAGCTCCACCTTGTTCATGTAGGCACTGTCCACATCCTGAAAGACAGTAATGGATTGAAATGAGCGAAGCACTTTCCTTACCAGGCCAGCAACATGATTAGCTCCAAACTCATTTTCTAGAGGAGAATAAATGTAAAGGATTTTCTAATGGCTGTTAATAGTGTTGTGGCTGAAGGGCTGATCTGAGAGGTCTTGTGATTAAAACATTTGACTGATGCTCTGAAGAGCTAGGCTCAATTCCAGGTGTGCCACAGATTCCCTATGTAAAGTTGGACAAGCCCCTTAGATCTGCCTGTGCTGCAGTTCCACAGAGCTAATAATCCTCCCTTTCTCCCACCCTTTGTCTGTCTTCTCTATCGCAAGCTCTTTGGGGCAAGGTCTGCCTCTCACTCTGTGTCTGTACAGCGCCTTGCACCACGGTGCCCGGATCTCTAGGTGTTGCTGAAAGACAAACAATAATAAGGCTTGCATTATACAAACAACACTCACCTTCTTGAGGGTCACAAAGTCATTCTCAGCAGTTGTGCGCTTGTTGATTTCATCTTCGTACCTAATGGAACGGGGCAGAGGGAACGTTTGTGTAGGCAAGTAACCGACCAAGATAATTGCAGCCTGTTAGAATAAACTTCTCTGAGAGCATTTTGTGTGCGTGCTAATCTCAGCTGTCACCAGGATCTGAATTTTAGTTTTCAGGATAACTCAGGCAATGATCCGTGTGTCTACGCTAAACCAGTTAAAACATGCAAACTGATGTCTAGAGAAAAGTACTCCAGATCAGTGGCTCTCAACCTTTCCAGACGACTGTCCCCCTTTCAGGAGTCTGATTTGTCTTGCGTACCCCCAAGTTGCACCTCACTTAAAAACCACTTGCTTACAAAACCAGACATTAAAATACAAAGGTGTCCCAGCAATGAAAAATTGATGACTTTCTCATTTTTCCCCATATAATTATACAACAAATCAACTGGAGTATAAATATTGTACTTACATTTCAGCATATAGTATATAGAGCAGTATATACAAGTCATTGTGTGTATGAAATTTTAGTTTGTTCTGACTTCGCTAATGCTTTTTATGTAGCCTGGGGTAAAACTAGGCACATATCTAGATGAATACCCCCTGGAGTACATGTACCCCTGGTTGAGAACTACTGCTCTAGATAAAACCTTCGGTTCTTTTTCTCTCTTCCTGGCAGTCAATCATTCTCACTGCCTCTTCCCTTACAGTTTAAGGATGCAGTCTCCCAAAGTCTAATGCCTGTGAATTATTTTACTCAGAGCAATAAATGCATTCATAATTCTTTGTCGATTCTGCGCCTAACGTGTCATCTGCAAAATACTGTTATACCTGGACCTCTTGTCCCTTCACTCTATAGAGAGATTTTTAACTGTCCAATTAACCATGGGAAAGTGATATAATCCATATAGTATAAGATAAAACAACGAGGAGTCCGTGTGGCACCTTAGAGACTAAAATTTATTTGGGCATAAGCTTTCGTGGGCTAAAACCCACTTCATCAGATACATGGAATGGAAAAGCTTATACCCAAATACATTTATTAGTCTCTAAGGTGCCACAAGGACTCCTCGTTGTTTTTGCTGATACAGACTAACACGGCTACCCCTCTGAAAACTGTCACATTATAAGATGTATCTCTCTAGCAAACTTGCAATTGGTGATTTGTTAGTCTTGTCCCTTCCTTATCAGACTGATATTACAGGGCGGATGTACAATATATTTTTTTATTTAAACACCCCTGATACTGTGGTGATGGGGAGCAGCTAGAGCAATGGACCTACCTGTTCTTGAAATCTTCCACCACGTTTTGCATGTTGTTCACCTCCCCTTCAAGTCTTCCTCTCTCATTCATCAGGTTGTTCAGCTGTCTCCGGAGATTACCGATGTAATTTTCAAAGAAGGGCTCAATGTTGTTTTTCACGGTTTTTTGGCCCTGTTCCTGCAGCAGGCTCCATTTGGTTTCCAGCACCCTATTTTGCTGCTCGAGGAATCGGACCTGAAAAGCACAAGGATCCAGAAGATGCTAAAATGGTTCCATAAAAGTCCATAAAAGTATTCAAATAATATGGGTCATCCAGGTTAACTCCCATGCATGTTTAGGGTCCAATCCTGCCAGGTACTGAGCACTTCCTGAGAGATGCTGAGTGCCCTCCGCTCTCGCTGAGCTCCTACGAACTAGTGGGCAAGACTGCCAAGGAAGATAGTCAGGGCCAGATCGTCAGCTGGTGTAAATGGGTGTAGCAAATTTGACTTCAAGGATCTTGCCCATATTGCAATCTAATTAGAAGCTGATTCCCCTGTTCCTTATACCATATTCCTCCCCACTGAACAATCAGGACAAGATAGCTATGAAATCTTATATCCTCCCCATGTACACCTGTGCAAAGTGGTTTTCAAATTATACCAGGACAGATTGGTTGCATTTTGCACACATTTTGCATAGGTGCAAATGATGACATGTGGGACAAGGCAGGAAAAATTTAATCCTTTAAGTGGAAAATAAATCTAAAATATTTATTACTGGGCTGAGTACAAAAAAGTCCACAAGACAGTGTAACATTTGCTTTGACCACAAATGCATGCGGATTGGTCAACAAGAACGTCAAGGTTTTTGTTATGCTCCTGTTTCTGCTTGTTCTGGCAAATCTGATGCAACCAACAAAGAGATGAACAGGATGCTGCCAGGTAGGTAAGTCCTCAAAATACCTTGACTTTAAAAGAACCACCTAAATGTAATCGCATTGTTTCAGTGTTACCTTTCCAACTTAACAAGAAAATTCAAGTCTGGAGGTCTGGTTTCCTGATAGCTTAAATGGGCAGGGCTCCATTGACTGGGCATTTGACAGTTCATTGATTCATAACACAAGATGATAGTCAGTACCAGCCTTTACAGGCCAGATGCTGATGTCAACTGCAGTGGACTGATAGATCTGCCCCAAATGAGTGGGGTTATGCCAGATTCGCCCCCCGGCTCTGTTTGTGGATCAACAGACAATGCTGATAAGGAAATGCAATTGTTTTTCCTCCCCACTGAACAATCTATGAAATCTTATATCTCACCTTGTCAATGAAGGAGGCGAATTGGTTGTTGAGGGTCTTGATTTGCTCCTTCTCCTCTTTACGCACCCTCTGGATGGTGGGGTCGATTTCCAAGTTGAGAGGTGTTAGAAGGCTCTGGTTGATGGTCACTTCCTGGATCCCACCAGGTGGGCAAACAGGGAACCCAGGGCCAACTCTTCCGCCACCAAACCCGGGGCCAGCTAACCCATAGCCAGCGCCTGCTCCGCCACCGAAACCGAATCCACAGCCAGCACCACCAGCAAAACCAACTGGGCCTGGAGCGCCACACAGAAAGCCACCACTGCTTCCAGCCATGGAGATCCTTTTAGATCCGCCTAGGTTGTAGAGGCTTCTGCTGCCAAAGCAACTGCCACCGCCAACAACCCTTCCAGCGCCAGCGCCGGCACCGCAACCTCCGGCCCGGGATACAGAACGTGAGCTGTAGCTGGTGCGGCAGCTGTTTGGGATGATGGCAGAAGAGGCACTGAAGCCCTGTTTTCTGCTCTGGAACCTTATAGTGGATTGGCGAGACATTGTAGCTGGTCTGGGTAAAATGGAAGTAATGGAAGGAAGGAAGGAGTGAGGTTTCTGGAGAACAGAACAGAACACAGAAGAGAAGGATGAACCTCTGTTCTTCAAGGGCTGAGGCTACCTCTTTTATTTGCTTCGGGAACTGGGATTGGCTTCATGATGTGAATTATCTCCCTGATTAATTGGGCTTGGTATGCCCTGCAGCGTTCTGAATAGTGAGGTCACTCCACCTACACGCCCCGTCTAATGAAATAGTTGCATTTCTGAGCAACATTCCTGTCGTTTGGAAATAACTGTCGCCTTTTGGCCTCTGCGTAGGCAACCAGAAAGGCAGTGTCAAAGAGTTCACGGCGTGTGCTAGTCATTTGGGGCCCAGAGAACAAACTGCTGACATGTCTCGCTAGGACACTGCTTGTTCAGCCCTTATGCTTTGCCATTTCCAAACCTAGTCCCTGCCCGCCCGTCTCTACCTGTATTATTCAAGGCACAAAGCTAGCATTTTATGAGAGAGATTTATAAGATTTAAATGTATTTATAAGATAAATACTATGGTCAATATGCAAAATGGGTTTCCCCCAGTCACTGCAGCAGAGACAGAGAATAAAACGTTCTGTTCTAGATGTTTTACCCCTTTCGTTCTCCATGAGACTTACATATAGCACCGTGGAACTAGATTTTCAAAAGAGCTCGGTTCCCAGGGAGGGCCTAAATTAGAGGTGGGCAAACTACGGCCCGCGGGCCACATCCGGCCCTCCAGCCGGTTTCATCTGGCCCTCAAGTTCCAGCTGGGGAGTGGGGTCTGGGGCTTGCCCTGCACCCGCGCTCCAGCCGGGGAGCGGGGTCAGAGGCCGTTCCATGTGCGCGTGCTGAGGCTCCCGGAAGCAGCAGTATGTCCCCCTTCCGGCTCCTACATTTAGGAGCAGCCAGGGGGCTCCGTGCGCTGCCCCCACCCCAAGCGCCACCCCCGTAGCTCCCATTGGTTGGGAGCTGCGGCGAATGGGAGCTACAGGGGCGACGCCTGCGGACAGGGCAGCCCACAGAGCCGGAGAAGGGACATGCCGCTGCTTCCAGGTGCTGCTTGAGGTAAGCGCTGCCCGGAGCCTGCACCCCTGACCCCTCCTGTGCCCCAACCCCCTGCCCCAGCCTTATCCCTGTCCCACAACCAACCCCCCTGACCCAGCCTGGAGCCCCCTCCCACACCCCGAACACCTCATTTCTGGCCCCACCCCAGCCCGCACCCCCAGCCAGAGCCCTCACCCCCTCCTGCACCCCAGCCCCAATTTCATGAGTATTCATAGCCCACCCTACAATTTCCATATCCAGATGTGGCCCTCGGGCCAAAAGGTTTGCCCACCCCTGGCCTAAATAAAAGCCAGATTTCTAATGCTGAGCTCTTTTGAAAATGTATCCATATATAAAAGCCATAAAACAGAGGGATATGGTGGAAGGGTAGCCGTGGCAGGTAGCGCTGATGGAGAGCTTGTCACCAAAAGGTTTTGTGACCAAAATTTGCTGACTTGTCAAAACTATAATAATGGCTTTTAAAAAAAGTTTCAAAGTGTGGAAATGGCCCTTTTGGACAGTTTGGAAAACAAACATTTTTTGGAGGGGGTGGGGGAGTTTCATTTCAAAATTTCACTTAAATTCTCCTAAAAAAAAAGGAGAACAAAATGTCAAAAATCAAAACAAAAAGGTTCAGAATTTTCAGATGAAATGTTTCAATGGACCTGAACGGACTTTTTTTTTTTTCAGTTTCTGAGTTCACAAAAATTGTTGGGACTTTGACTTTTTTGTTTCGATTTGGGAAGAGAAAATGTTTCAAAATCTAGAAAAATCATATGGGATTGAAAAACCAACCCGACTGGTAGGTGAATAACATTGGTGCAATGTTCGGAGTGCTAAATCAAGCCACTGAAAAGAAATCAGGGAATTCCAGAAGGTAATGCCACTCCAGCAATGGTAACCCAGCAGTAGAGTATATTTTATAGTATGCGTTCAAAACAAAGACTGATACATTAAGGGGCTCTACGTCTCAATCTTTTCCATAGGGTCACATCACAAGAACTTTCTCGCATATAGCAAAGACTGAACCAGGCGTTCTCTCCCTTTTAGGAGAATGAGAATAATAGGATGGTCACAACCTAGGGAGGTGGTGGAATCTTCATCGTTAGAGGTTTTTAAGGCCTGGCTTGACAAAGCCCTGGCTGGGATGATTTAGTTGGTGTTGGTCCTGCTTTGAGCAGGGGGTTGGACTAGATGACCTCCTGGGGTCTCTTCCAACCCTGATATTCTATGATTCTATGATTCTAACCCTTGACACAAATGCTTGTCATCTCCCTGGGAGTCATGACATCCCCCCACCGTCCCAGGTTGTGAGTCGCTGCATGATGTTATTTCTCTGATGTGACAAAAAAAAAAAAAGGAATTGAAAATATCACACATGCCAGAACCCCAGCTGATGTAAACTGGTGTTGCTCCACTGGCATCAATGGGCCGCACCCCACAACTGGTGCAAATCAGTGTGGCACCTCTGAAATCAGTGGGCCACAACGTCAGCGGGGGTAAATTGGCAGAGCTTCCCTGAAGTCAATGGAGCTACGGTGATTTGCACTAGCTGCCCATCTGGGCACAGAAGTGGAGAACGGTTGAGATAATGTTGCTGCAACAGCCTTGAATGCCCTGAGTTTTGAGTGACAAGGCAGGTGAGGTAATATATTGTCTCACACACCTTGCCTCTCTAATATCCTGGGACCCACACGGCTACAACTACACTGCATTTTGAGTGTCTGATCTCGCAGCTTGGTTACTCCATTCGGGATATTTTGTCTGTATTTAGGCTGAGATTTTCACAGCTGCCATTAAAATCAATGGAAACTGGGTACACCTGTCCCCTAGCTTGCTTTGAAATAGTTCAGTCTTCGTTTCTTTAGAGGGAACAAAGAAGGAGATTGGCAGTTGATGCTGCTTTGACACTCTGCTGGCTCGGTGAAACTTGAGAAACTCTCTTATCCGCTGCTATTCTCACTGCACGGTGCATAGAATCATAGAATATCAGGGTTGGAAGGGACCTCAGGAGGTATCTAGTCCAACCCCCTGCTCAAAGCAGGACCAAACCCCAACTAAATCATTCCAGCCAGGGCAGGAAAATTTTTTTAAAAAATACATTCTATGGGTGGCATACCCAAGATCACTTATTCACTGATGCTTTAAAAAACTCCCACACCCCCATCTAGCTCTATGCTGGTTATGTTCTACGTATGTACCTTGTGACCCTTATAACCCATCCTTGTAATCTCCCTGACCCCAGCTGTACATCACCTTCCTTCCTAACTTGGGTAAACTTGATTTTAGACATAAACTTCAACAATGTTATCACCCAGAGACAGCACAGACACTGCACTTGATTTTAGCTAGAAAGCCAAAATAAACCCTGATGGATTTTCCAGAAAAATTTGTAAACTCTTTCAACCAGACGCTATACACCTAGATGCTTGAACTCCTGAAAGAGGGTTCCAAAGAGGATGAATCTAGACTGTTCTCAGTGGTACCTGATGACAGAACAAGGAGCAATGGTCTCAAGTTGCAGTTGGGGAGGTTTAGGTTGGATATTAGGAAAAACTTTTTCACTAGGAGGGTGGTGAAGCACTGGAATGGGTTACCTAGGGAGGTGGTGGAATCTCTTTCCTTAGAGGTTTTTAAGGTCAAGCTTGACAAAGCCCTGGCTGGGATGATTTAGTTGGGAATTGGTCCTGCTTTGAGCAGGGGGTTGGACTAGATGACCTCCTGAGGTCCCTTCCAACCCTGATATTCTATGATTCTATGAACTTGCATTGCGTTGACTAAGCACCTTCATCTTCCACTGACTTTAATGGCTTTGTGGTTACTCAGTATTTTACAGGTTTGGGCCATAACTAGCTATGCCTATGTGTTAAGTGCACCTGTATTGCATTGCCACACCTATAAAATTAAGGAAATCATCCGTTGAGTGTGTTTAATAGGCCATTTTCAAATAGTCATATCCCTGTTAAATTAAAACCATTACCTCGCCACCCAAATAAAGACACTAGTCCTTAATTAGGACAAACGCCTTTCCTAATTTTGCCATTCCAACTGTAGCCCGTTTTGCTGTAGCCTTGCCTAAACAGGATATTTTTAATCTCAAAGAACAACTTTTAATTACCATTTTCTGGGATATAGGTGGGGAGTCACCATGCAGCTGAAAGCAAAAAAGGGGCTCATTTTGGAAGGTGGTGAATGCTTTGTGAACACAGGGGGGTTGGAACTGAAACTGGTTTGCAATATTATTTATACCGGCTTCTAGAATGCAACCTGCTGATTTTTGGTACTTGTGTGTAGTCAATTGTTACCAATTCTCTTTGGCTCTTTTAATCTAGATTTTCAATGCACATGGCAAGGAGGTTTAGCAATGGCAAACATCTTTCTCGGCTTCTTGTTCCAGGCTCCTCTGCCTGCAAACCACCTGCTTTGCTTTTGGATTCACAGTGGATTCAGCTGGCAAGTTGAAAAATAGGTAATCTGGGTTTTGTCCAGTTTCATGCTGACATTCATGCGGGGGGATGTTTTTAGACAGTATGTGCATTCCAGTTAATTCAAGAAGTATATGATTCATGCCAAATCTGTTTACACAGGCAGAGTGATCTCACAAGCACATACCCCTGGGAAACCTCCAGTCCTATTGTTAACATGTCTAAGTATCTGCAGACTGTAATAATGGGATGGTGAAACGATTAGGGATGAGTGAACACCCTGATCTCCCACTAACTTGCAATGGGGACACACCTGTAGTCCCAGAAAGATTTTGTGTTCTGTACTGATGTGTGTTCATCTTTAAAAACAACAAGGAGTCCGGTGGCATCTTAAAGACTAACAGATTTATTTGGGCATAAGCTTTCGTGGGTAAAAACCTCACTTCTTCAGATGTTCATCTTTGTTTCTCTAAAACCTATTGAGTGAAATATTATTTTTAAAGTAAAATGAAATGCTAAATGTCAATTTTTTTTGAGAGACAAGGCGGGTGGGTAATATCTTTTATTGGACCCGTTTCTGTTGGTGGAAGAGCTATACAGTTTTGAGCT